GCGTCTTCAAACGCGCCCACGCGACCCACGCCTCTTCACAGTCATCGACGATGTGATGGTAGTCTGCGTCCATGTGCAGCAACATCAATCCGAAAGCGATGTTGTTAACCTTGACGTAGTCGTCCATGGCGCGATCGTCCGCGTAGGTCGGTGACGTCTCCCGGTTCACCACGTGCCACGTCGACTTGGTCAGGAACACGCCACGCATGTAGCGGCTCCATGTCGCGTAGTTGTCGCCGTCGAACTTGTCAATGGAGATCTTGGTGGTGGCATCATGAGCAGAGGACATCGTGCTTGGGCTCATAACCTGTTGAAAGGTGCGAAGCTTGACGACCGAAACTGGGAGGGATGCTGGGAGTCCACTCGGAAGACCGCAGAAGACACTTGGGGGGTAGATGGAAGATTGTAAAGTGATTGATTTTCGGGGCTTACTACTTACTACATGATTTAAATGTGGTGCACATATAAATCATGTGAAGCGTCTCATCATCCTACGCGTCTAATCAACTATGGTAATTACCGTAAGAACTACGTCGTAAATACTAAGCTGAACAGGCGGTTCGGATTGGACCGGTCACGATTACCAATACTGGTAGGAAACCGATGACCGTCAACACGCCCTCTCAATCCGAACTCGCACGAATGCCGAGAGCCGTCGTCAAGTCCTTGTGGCGAGGTCCAGAAAGTCCCTTGGTCATGATGTCCGCCATCATCACGGAAGTCTCGCAAAACTCGAGCTGCACTTCACCGCGCTTGACCTCATCACGGATGTGATGGTACTTGATGCCGATGTGCTTGGCGCGGCCATGATTCACTGGATTCTTCGTCATCTCGATGCACGACTGGTTGTCTTCACGGATGACGAGGTCCGGTCCTGGTTCGTTTGCGGCCGCCAAAATCTCGCATAGCAGGCGATGCACCCACTTGCCTTCCTGGATGGCCAGACTCAGTGCGATGTATTCCGCTTCACTCGTCGACAGCGACGCACTTGACTGCTTCTTGCTTCCCCAACTCACAGGAGCACCCATCAGCATGAAAGTGTAACCCGAAGTCGACTTGCGATCAGCGTGGTCGCCGGCCCAGTCCGCGTCCGAGTAGCCACGAAAGTCGATCTTGTCGCTTGGCTGGAAGCGGAGTCCGTGCGACTTGGTCCCTTGCAAGTAACGAAAGATGCGCTTCACCGCCGTCCAATGTTCTTGCTGCAGATTCTCCATGAAGCGCGAGACGTAACCCACAGCATACGCAATGTCCGGGCGCGTCGCAGTCGTCAAGTGCATCAAAGCTCCCACAGCTTCACGAAACGGAACGTCGATCTTGGCCGCTTCGCTGCTTGCGACAAGCCGAGTGCTCAAGTCGACCGGAATTGCTGTGGCCTTGCACTCATCCATGCCGAAGCGCTTGAGGATGTCGTTGACATACCGTCGCTGGCACATCGTCACGCTGCCATCCGATTCGTCCACCAGTTCGATGCCCAGTACAAAAGTACACTTGCCACTGTCGGTCATCTCGAAACGCGTCTTGAGGTCGGCCTTCGTCTGCGCAATCAACTCGAGCGAGCTGCCGGTGACCAACACGTCATCCACGTAGACCAGCACGAGCACACAGTGACCGTCGACAACCTTGATGTAGAGACATGGGTCGAACGCCGACACTTCGAAACCGATAGATCATACGAACTCGTCGAAAGTCTTGTTCCACACACGTGAAGCTTGCTTGAGACCGTAGATCGCCTTCACCAACTCGAGACAGTCGAAGTCTCCATCCATCTCGACGCCTTCTGGTATCACGCAGTACACCTTCTCCTTCATCACTCCGTAGAGAAAGGCTGTCACCACATCGACTTGGTCCAGTGGCCAGTCGAAATACTTGGTGATCGCGATCACCATACGCAGTGTCACGTACTTGACCACGGGCGAGAACGTCTCTGTGTAGTCGATGTCGTACTTCTGCTTGAAGCCCTTGGCAACGAGACGCGCCTTGTATTTCTCGACCGATCCATCCGGTTTGCGCTTGATCTTGAACACCCACTTGGTGCCTATCGCGCCTTGGCCTCTTGGCAGTTTTGCCGCACGGAAAACTCCACGAAGATGCATCGACTTGAGTTCCGCCTTCACAGCATTTCGCCAGTGAGCTTGATCAGGACCATTGATCGCGTCTTGAAAAGTCACAGGTTCTGCTAGGTCCGTTGCTTCCACTGCGTTTGCACTGGCACGCCAAAATGTTGGAGGCGTCGAGGCGTCATCTTGATTGTAGACGCTCGCATCTTCTTCGTCATCAGACATCGTTTCTGGAGCACTTGATTGTCGTTTCTGGTGACGGTTGGAGACGTGTTCCGGCGCACTTGCTTGTTCCAACCCAGTTCGAGGGCGAGCTGAACGTGACATGCCGGGTCTTGCTTCACTCTTGCGCTTGCCAGTCTGCTTGTAGACGGTTTGACGCACGTCGTCCTCGTTGATCGCTAGGAGGTCGAGGTCCAACTCCGCATCTTCATCATCGTCACTTGGTCGGTCCATCGAAAAGTCAAAAGTCGATTCGTCGAAGGTGATGTCACGACTGATCACCACTTGGCCCGCCTCAATGTCGTACACTCGATAAGCTTTTGACGCTTCTTCGTAGCCCATGAACATCCCTTCACGAGCCTTCGGGTCCCACTTCAATCGCTTCTCCCTTGGGGTCAGGATAAACGCCCGACATCCAAACACGCGCATGTGCTTGACACTTGGTTTCGACTTGTACACGATCTCGAACGGAGTCTCGTGGTCGATCTTGGGTGAAGGCAGGCGGTTCTTGATGTAGATCGCCGTCATTGCCGCTTCAGCCCAGAAACGCTTCTCCAGCTTTGCATGATGCAACAAGCTCCGTCCGATCGTGACGATGGTCCTTATCGCGCGTTCTGCGGTGCCGTTGGTCTGGTGTGCATACGGCACCGTGACCTGTTGTTCGATACCATGATCTTCGTAGAAGGTCTTGATCGAGTTGGTCGCAAACTCATGCGCTCCATCGTGCCGAACAAACTTGATCTTCGTGCCGAACTGATTCTGAATCTTGATAATGTGGTTCTTGATACAGACTTCACTCTCAGAATTGGACCGCAGACAGAAGCCCTTCATGCAACCGCTGGCTTCGTCAACCACAAGCAGTAAGTATCTGCTGCCGCCGATCGAGACTTGTTCCATTGGCCCGCAGGTGTCAAAGTGCAGCAACTCGAACACACCATATTGGCGTTTGTCACGGTTGGTTGGGAATGGTTTTTGGACCATCTTTCCTTGCTGGTAACCGCGACACACACTTGGACCAGTCGAGTTGAGAGGTGCCTTTGCGTCCTTGATCATGCCGGTGGCCACCATCTTGCGCAGAACTTCGAGGGGTGCATGACCCATGCGCGCATGCAAGTCGATAGTCCCATTGTGTGTTGCTGCATTCGCCGATCGTTGAGTAGTCCGCAGCCAGTAAAGTCCATCGACGAGGTCCGCTGTTACCACGACTTGTGTGGAATTCTTGCGCTTCACTTGCATCTTGGACCCATCGAACACGACTTGGAACCTGCCACCCTTGTTGATCTGTGGCACCGAAAGAAGATTCTTGCTCATACTTGGTACGAACAGTGCGTCCTTGATCTCGATGTCGCGTTCGTCACCATTGGGCAGAACCACCCGTTCCATGATGGTTCCCACACCCTTGATCGCGGCCTTGCTGCCATCAGCCACTGATAGTTCGCCTTCCTCTCGCTCATTCAGGCTTGTAAACTTGGCCTTGTCGTTGCAGATGTGATGCGTCGCACCGCTGTCGACTGCCCACATCCCTGGCATATTCTTGCCCGTCGAAAGTCCAGCCTCCAGCGAAACCGCGAACGCAACTCGATCGTAGTTGTCGTCGTAGTTGCTGTTGGTTCGCCACTGAACGTTGTTGGCTCCGCGTCCACGAGCATTGTTGCCGCCGCGTCGAGCTCCACCTTGATTTTCGTCCTTCTGCTTGGTCCAGCACCGCTCCGCCGTGTGCCCCAATTTTCCGCAGTATGTACACTGGCGAGGTTCACGCTCGGCACTGAACGCCTTCGCCGCGTCTTCAGTCTTCACCGATGTCGTCTTGTCACCTTGTCTCTTGATGTGCTCATTCGTGAGCACTCTCACGACGTCTCGCGATCGCAGTTCCGCGCTGCTCATCTCCAAGTTGAGAACGACGTTCTCGTAGCTCTTGGGGAGGCTGCGCAACAAGCAGATCGCCACGTCCTCGTCCTCCATCTTGGCGCCGATGCTGCTGAGCTTCGCGCTGATGTTGAGGACTTCGTTGCAATGATGCATCACATTGCCGCCTTCCGCCATCTCCATGCTGAACAGCTGGCGCTTCAAGTAGATGCGTCCAGCCTTCTGCGACCCGCCGTACAGCGTCTTCAAACGCGCCCACGCGACCCACGCCTCTTCACAGTCATCGACGATGTGATGGTAGTCTGCGTCCATGTGCAGCAACATCAGTCCGAAAGCGATGTTGTTGGCCTTGACGTAGTCGTCCATGGCGCGATCGTCCGCGTAGGTCGGTGACGTCTCCCGGTTCACCACGTGCCACGTCGACTTGGTCAGGAACACGCCACGCATGTAGCGGCTCCATGTCGCGTAGTTGTCGCCGTCGAGCTTGTCAATGGAGATCGTGGTGGTGGCATCATGAGCAGAGGACATCGTGCTTGGGCTCATAACCTGTTGAAAGGTGTGAAGCTTGACGACCGAAACTGGGAGGGATGCTGGGAGTCCACTCGGAAGACCGGAGAAGACACTTGGGGGTAGATGGAAGATTGGAAAAGTGATTGATTTTCAGGTCTTAACTCTGCTTACCCTACACTGCATTCAATCATGTGGTGCATCTAATATACATGATTTAGAACACGTCTCATCATCCTACGCGTCCAATCATCTATCAGGTAATTACTGGCGTAAAAACTACCTCGTAAAAACTAAGCTGATCAGTTCGGATTGGGCCGGTCACGTGGTAACCCTCAATACGCCCCCTCAATCCGAACTCGCACGAATGCCGAGAGCCGTCGTCAAGTCCTTGTGGCGAGGTCCAGAAAGACCTTTGGTCATGATGTCCGCCATCATCACGGAAGTCTCGCAATACTCGAGCTGCACTTCACCGCGCTTGACCTCATCACGGATGTGATGGTACTTGATGTCAATGTGCTTGGCGCGGCCATGATTCACCGGATTCTTCGTCATCTTGATGCACGACTGGTTGTTTTCACGGATGACGAGGTCCGGTCCTGGTTCGTTTGCGGCCGCCAAAATCTCGCATAGCAGGCGATGCACCCACTTGCCTTCCTGGATGGCCAGACTCAGTGCGATGTATTCCGCTTCACTCGTCGACAGCGACACACTTGACTGCTTCTTGCTTCCCCAACTCACAGGAGCACCCATCAGCATGAAAGTGTAACCCGAAGTCGACTTGCGATCAGCGTGGTCGCCGGCCCAGTCCGCGTCCGAGTAGCCACGAAAGTCGATCTTGTCGCTTGGCTGGAAGCGGAGTCCGTGCGACTTGGTCCCTTGCAAGTAACGAAAGATGCGCTTCACCGCCGTCCAATGTTCTTGCTGCGGATTCTCCATGAAGCGCGAGACGTACCCCACAGCATGCGCAATGTCTGGGCGCGTCGCAGTCGTCAAGTGCATCAAAGCTCCCACAGCTTCAAGAAACGGAACGTCGATCTTGGCCGCTTCGCTGCTTGCGACAAGCCGAGTGCTCAAGTCGACCGGACTTGCTGTGGCCTTGCACTCATCCATGCCGAAGCGCTTGAGGATGTCGTTGACATACCGTCGCTGGCACATCGTCACGCTGCCATCCGATTCGTCCACCAGTTCGATGCCCAGTACAAAAGTACACTTGCCACTGTCGGTCATCTCGAAACGCGTCTTGAGGTCGGCCTTCGTCTGCGCAATCAACTCGAGCGAGCTGCCGGTGACCAACACGTCATCCACGTAGACCAGCACGAGCACACAGTGACCGTCGACAACCTTGATGTAGAGACATGGGTCGAACGCCGACACTTCGAAACCGATAGAGCATACGAACTCGTCGAAAGTCTTGTTCCACACACGTGAAGCTTGCTTGAGACCGTAGATCGCCTTCACCAACTCGAGACAGTCGAAGTCGCCATCCATCTCGACGCCTTCTGGTATCACGCAGTACACCTTCTCCTTCATCACTCCGTAGAGAAAGGCTGTCACCACATCGAGTTGGTCCAGTGGCCAGTCGAAATACTTGGTGATCGCGATCACCATACGCAGTGTCACGTACTTGACCACGGGCGAGAACGTCTCTGTGTAGTCGATGCCGTACTTCTGCTTGAAGCCCTTGGCAACGAGACGCGCCTTGTATTTCTCAACCGATCCATCCGCTTTGCGCTTGATCTTCAACACCCATTTGGTGCCGATCGCGCCTTGACCTCTTGGCAATTTTTCTGCGCGAAACAATTCACGAAGATGCATCGACTTGAGTTCCGCCTTCACATCACTTCGCCAGTGAGCTTGATCAGGACAATTAAATGCCTCTTAGAATCTCGCAGGTTGTTTTAGGTCCGTTGCTTCACTGCATTTGCACCTGCACGCCAAAATGTTTGAGGCGTCGAGTGTTCATGTTGATTGTAGACGTCCGCATCTTCTTCGTCATCAGACTTCGTTTCGGGAGCACTTGATCGTCGCTTCCAGTGACGTTAGATACGTGTTCCATCGCACTTGCTTGTTCCAACCCAGTTCGATGGCAAGATGACCGTGACATGCCGGTGCTTGCTTCACTCTTGCGCTTACCAGTCTGCTTGTAGACGGTTTGACGCACGTCGTCCTCGTTGATCGCCAGGAGGTCGAGGTCCAACTCCGCATCTTCATCATCGTCACTTGGTCGGTCCATCGAAAAGTCAAAAGTCGATTCGTCGAAGGTGATGTCACGACTGATCACCACTTGGCCCGCCTCAATGTCGTACACTCGATAAGCTTTTGACGCTTCTTCGTAGCCCATGAACATCCCTTCACGAGCCTTCGGGTCCCACTTCAATCGCTTCTCCCTTGGTGTCAGGATAAACGCCCGACATCCAAACACGCGCATGTGCTTGACACTTGGTTTCGACTTGTACACGATCTCGAACGGAGTCTTGTGGTCGATCTTGGGTGAAGGCAGGCGGTTCTTGATGTAGATCGCCGTCATTGCCGCTTCAGCCCAGAAACACTTCTCCAGCTTTGCATGATGCAACAAGCTGCGTCCGATCGTGACGATGGTCCTTATCGCGCGTTCTGCGGTGCCGTTGGTCTGGCGTGCATACGGCACCGTGACCTGCTGCTCAATACCATGATCTTCGTAGAAGGTCTTGATCGAGTTGGTCGCAAACTCATACGCTCCATCGTGCCGAACAAACTTGATCTTTGTGCCGAATTGAGTTTGAATCTTGATAATGTGGTTCTTGATACAGTCTTCACTCTCAGACTTGGACCGCAGACAGAAGCCCTTCATGCAACCGCTGGCTTCGTCAACCACAAGCAGTAAGTATCTGCTGCCGCCGATCGAGACTTGTTCCATTGGCCCGCAGATGTCGAAGTGCAGCAACTCGAACACACCATATTGGCGTTTGTCACGGTTTGTTGGGAATGGTTTTTGGACCATCTTTCCTTGCTGGCAACCGCGGCACACACTTGGACCAGTCGAGTTGAGAGGTGCCGTGGCGTCCTTGATCATGCCGGCGGCCACCATCTTGCGCAGAACTTCGAGGGGTGCATGACCCATGCGCGCATGCAAGTCGATGGCCCCATTGTGTGTCGCTGCATTAGCCGATCGTTAGAAATCCGCAGCCAGTAAAGTCCATCGACGAGATCCCCTGTCACCACGACTTGCTTGTTATTCTTGCGCTTCACTTGCATCTTGGACCCATCAAACAAAACTTGTAACCTGCCACCCTTGTTGATCTGTGGTACCGAAAGAAGATTCTTGCTCATACTTGGTACAAACAGTGCGTCTTTGATCTCGATGTTGCGTTCGTCGCCATTGGGCAGAACCACCCGTTCCCTGATGGATCCCACACCCTTGATCGCGGTTTTTCTGCCATCAGCCAGCGATAGATCACCTTCATCTCGCTCATTCAGGCTTGTGAACTTGGCCTTGTCGTTGCAGATGTGATGCGTCGTACCGCTGTCGACTGCCCACATCCCTGGCATATTCTTGCCCGTCGAAAGTCCAGCCTCCAGCGAAACTGCGAACGCAACTCGATCGTAGTTGTCGTCGTAGTTGCTGTTGGTTCACCACTGAATGTTGTTGGCTCCGCGTCCACGAGCATTGTTGCCGCCGCGTCGAGCTCCACCTTGATTTTCGTCCTTCTGCTTGGTCCAGCACCGCTCCGCCGTGTGCCCCAATTTTCCGCAGTATGTACACTGGCGAGGTTCACGCTCGGCACTGAACGCCTTCGCCGCGTCTTCAGTCTTCACCGATGTCGTCTTGTCACCTTGCCTCTTGATGTGCTCATTCGTGAGCACTCTCACGACGTCTCGCGATCGCAGTTCCGCGCTGCTCATCTCCAAGTTGAGAACGACGTTCTCGTAGCTCTTGGGGAGGCTGCGCAACAAGCAGATCGCCACGTCCTCGTCCTCCATCTTGGCGCCGATGCTGCTGAGCTTCGCGCTGATGTTGAGGACTTCGTTGCAATGATGCATCACATTGCCGCCTTCCGCCATCTCCATGCTGAACAGCTGGCGCTTCAAGTAGATGCGTCCAGCCTTCTGCGACCCGCCGTACAGCGTCTTCAAACGCGCCCACGCGACCCCCGCCTCTTCACGGTCATCGACGATGTGATGGTAGTCCGCGTCCATGTGCAGCAACATCAGTCCGAAAGCGATGTTGTTGGCCTTGACGTAGTCGTCCATGGCGCGATCGTCCGCGTAGGTCGGTGACGTCTCCCGGTTCACCACGTGCCACGTCGACTTGGTCAGGAACACGCCACGCATGTAGCAGCTCCATGTCGCGTAGTTGTCGCCGTCGAGCTTGTCAATGGAGATCGTGGTGGTGGCATCATGAGCAGAGGACATCGTGCTTGGGCTCACAACCTGTTGAAAGGTGTGAAGCTTGACGACCGAAACTGGGAGGGATGCCGGGAGTCCACTCGGAAGACCGGAGAAGACACTTGGGGGGTAGATGGAAGATTGGAAAAGTGATTGATTTTCGGGTCTTAACTCTGCTTACCCTACACTGCATTCAATCATATGGTGCATCTAATATAAATGATGTGAAACGTCTGATCATCCTACGCGTCCAATCATCTCTCAGGTAATTACTGGCGTAAGAACTACCTCGTAAATACTACGCTATCAGGTTCGGATTGGCCGGTCATTACCAATATGTAGAAAATGACCCTCAATACGCCCCCTCAATCCGAACTCGCACGAATGCCGAGAGCCGTCGTCAAGTCCTTGTGGCGAGGTCCAGAAAGTCCCTTGGTCATGATGTCCGCCATCATCACGGAAGTCTCGCAATACTCGAGCTGCACTTCACCGCGCTTGACCTCATCACGGATGTGATGGTACTTGATGTCAATGTGCTTGGCGCGGCCATGATTCACCGGATTCTTCGTCATCTTGATGCACGACTGGTTGTCTTCACGGATGACGAGGTCCGGTCCTGGTTCGTTTGCGGCCGCCAAAATCTCGCATAGCAGGCGATGCACCCACTTGCCTTCCTGGATGGCCAGACTCAGTGCGATGTATTCCGCTTCACTCGTCGACAGCGACACACTTGACTGCTTCTTGCTTCCCCAACTCACAGGAGCACCCATCAGCATGAAAGTGTAACCCGAAGTCGACTTGCGATCAGCGTGGTCGCCGGCCCAGTCCGCGTCCGAGTAGCCACGAAAGTCGATCTTGTCGCTTGGCTGGAAGCGGAGTCCGTGCGACTTGGTCCCTTGCAAGTAACGAAAGATGCGCTTCACCGCCGTCCAATGTTCTTGCTGCGGATTCTCCATGAAGCGCGAGACGTAACCCACAGCATGCGCAATGTCCGGGCGCGTCGCAGTCGTCAAGTGCATCAAAGCTCCCACAGCTTCACGAAACGGAACGTCGATCTTGGCCGCTTCGCTGCTTGCGACAAGCCGAGTGCTCAAGTCGACCGGACTTGCTGTGGCCTTGCACTCATCCATGCCGAAGCGCTTGAGGATGTCGTTGACATACCGTCGCTGGCACATCGTCACGCTGCCATCCGATTCGTCCACCAGTTCGATGCCCAGTACAAAAGTACACTTGCCACTGTCGGTCATCTCGAAACGCGTCTTGAGGTCGGCCTTCGTCTGCGCAATCAACTCGAGCGAGCTGCCGGTGACCAACACGTCATCCACGTAGACCAGCACGAGCACACAGTGACCGTCGACAACCTTGATGTAGAGACATGGGTCGAACGCCGACACTTCGAAACCGATAGAGCATACGAACTCGTCGAAAGTCTTGTTCCACACACGTGAAGCTTGCTTGAGACCGTAGATCGCCTTCACCAACTCGAGACAGTCGAAGTCGCCATCCATCTCGACGCCTTCTGGTATCACGCAGTACACCTTCTCCTTCATCACTCCGTAGAGAAAGGCTGTCACCACATCGAGTTGGTCCAGTGGCCAGTCGAAATACTTGGTGATCGCGATCACCATACGCAGTGTCACGTACTTGACCACGGGCGAGAACGTCTCTGTGTAGTCGATGCCGTACTTCTGCTTGAAGCCCTTGGCAACGAGACGCGGCTTGTATTTCTCGACCGATCCATCCGCTTTGCGCTTGATCTTGAACACCACTTGGTGCCTATCGCGCCTTGGCCTCTTGGCAGTTTTGCCGCACGGAAAACTCCACGAAGATGCATCGACTTGAGTTCCGCCTTCACAGCATTTCGCCAGTGAGCTTGATCAGGACATTGATCGCATCTTGAAAAGTCACAGGTTCTACTAGGTCCGTTGCTTCCACTGCGTTTGCACTTGCACGCCAAAATGTTGGAGGCGTCGAGTCGTCATCTTGATCGTAGACGCTCGCATCTTCTTCGTCATCAGACATCGTTTCTGGAGCACTTGATCGTCGTTTCTGGTGACGGTTGGAGACGTGTTCCGGCGCACTTGCTTGTTCCAACCCAGTTCGAGGGCGAGCTGAACGTGACATGCCGGGTCTTGCTTCACTCTTGCGCTTGCCAGTCTGCTTGTAGACGGTTTGACGCACGTCGTCCTCGTTGATCGCTAGGAGGTCGAGGTCCAACTCCGCATCTTCATCATCGTCACTTGGTCGGTCCATCGAAAAGTCAAAAGTCGATTCGTCGAAGGTGATGTCACGACTGATCACCACTTGGCCCGCCTCAATGTCGTACACTCGATAAGCTTTTGACGCTTCTTCGTAGCCCATGAACATCCCTTCACGAGCCTTCGGGTCCCACTTCAATCGCTTCTCCCTTGGTGTCAGGATAAACGCCCGACATCCAAACACGCGCATGTGCTTGACACTTGGTTTCGACTTGTACACGATCTCGAACGGAGTCTTGTGGTCGATCTTGGGTGAAGGCAGGCGGTTCTTGATGTAGATACGCCGTCATTGCCGCTTCAGCCCAGAAACACTTCTCCAGCTTTGCATGATGCAACAAGCTGCGTCCGATCGTGACGATGGTCCTTATCGCGCGTTCTGCGGTGCCGTTGGTCTGGTGTGCATACGGCACCGTGACCTGTTGTTCGATACCATGATCTTCGTAGAAGGTCTTGATCGAGTTGGTCGCAAACTCATGCGCTCCATCGTGCCGAACAAACTTGATCTTCGTGCCGAACTGAGTCTGAATCTTGATAATGTGGTTCTTGATACAGACTTCACTCTCAGACTTGGACCGCAGACAGAAGCCCTTCATGCAACCGCTGGCTTCGTCAACCACAAGCAGTAAGTATCTGCTGCCGCCGATCGAGACTTGTTCCATTGGCCCGCAGATGTCGAAGTGCAGCAACTCGAACACACCATATTGGCGTTTGTCACGGTTGGTTGGGAATGGTTTTTGGACCATCTTTCTTGGCTGGCAACCGCGACACACACTTGGACCAGTCGAGTTGAGAGGTGCCTTGGCGTCCTTGATCATGCCGGTGGCCACCATCTTGCGCAGAACTTCGAGGGGTGCATGACCCATGCGCGCATGCAAGTCGATAGCCCCATTGCGTGTTGCTGCATTCGCCGATCGTTGAGTAGTCCGCAGCCAGTAAAGTCCATCGACGAGATCCGCTGTTGCCACGACTTGTTTGGTATTCTTGCGCTTCACTTGCATCTTGGACCCATCGAACACGACTTGGAACCTGCCACCCTTGTTGATCTGTGGCACCGAAAGCAGATTCTTGCTCATACTTGGTACGAACAGTGCGTCCTTGATCTCGATGTCGCGTTCGTTACCATTGGGCAGAACCACCCGTTCCCTGATGGTTCCCACACCCTTGATCGCAGCCTTGCTGCCATCAGCCACCGATAGTTCGCCTTCCTCTCGCTCATTCAGGCTTGCAAACTTGGCCTTGTCGTTGCAGATGTGATGCGTCGCACCGCTGTCGACTGCCCACATCCCTGGCATATTCTTGCTCGTCGAAAGTCCAGCCTCCAGCGAAACCGTGAACGCAACTCGATCGTAGTTGTCGTCGTAGTTGCTGTTGGTTCGCCACTGAACGTTGTTGGCTCCGCGTCCACGAGCATTGTTGCCGCCGCGTCGAGCTCCACCTTGATTTTCGTCCTTCTGCTTGGTCCAGCACCGCTCCGCCGTGTGCCCCAATTTTCCGCAGTATGTACACTGGCGAGGTTCACGCTCGGCACTGAACGCCTTCGCCGCGTCTTCAGTCTTCACCGATGTCGTCTTGTCACCTTGTCTCTTGATGTGCTCATTCGTGAGCACTCTCACGACGTCTCGCGATCGCAGTTCCGCGTTGCTCATCTCCAAGCTGAGAACGACGTTCTCGTAGCTCTTGGGGAGGCTGCGCAACAAGCAGATCGCCACGTCCTCGTCCTCCATCTTGGTGCCGATGCTGCTGAGGTTCGCGCTGATGTTGAGGACTTCGTTGCAATGATGCATCACATTGCCGCCTTCCGCCATCTCCATGCTGAACAGCTGGCGCTTCAAGTAGATGCGTCCAGCCTTCTGCGACCCGCCGTACAGCGTCTTCAAACGCGCCCACGCGACCTACGCCTCTTCACAGTCATCGACGATGTGATGGTAGTCCGCGTCCATGTGCAGCAACATCATTCCGAAAGCGATGTTGTTGGCCTTGACGTAGTCGTCCATGGCGCGATCGTCCGCGTAGGTCGGTGACGTCTCCCGGTTCACCACGTGCCACGTCGACTTGGTCAGGAACACGCCACGCATGTAGCGGCTCCATGTCGCGTAGTTGTCGCCGTCGAACTTGTCAATGGAGATCTTGGTGGTGGCATCATGAGCAGAGGACATCGTGCTTGGGCTCATAACCTGTTGAAAGGTGCGAAGCTTGACGACCGAAACTGGGAGGGATGCTGGGAGTCCACTCGGAAGACCGCAGAAGACACTTGGGGGGTAGATGGAAGATTGTAAAGTGATTGATTTTCGGGGCTTAACTCTACTTACCCTACATGATTTAACATGTGGTGCACTAATATAAATCATGTGAAGCGTCTCATCATCCTACGCGTCTAATCAACTATCAGGTAATTACTGGCGTAAGAACTACGTCGTAAATACTAAGCTGAACAGGCGGTTCGGATTGGACCGGTCACGGTTACCAATACTGGTAGGAAACCGATGACCGTCAACACGCCCTCTCAATCCGAACTCGCACGAATGCCGAGAGCCGTCGTCAAGTCCTTGTGGCGAGGTCCAGAAAGTCCCTTGGTCATGATGTCCGCCATCATCACGGAAGTCTCGCAATACTCGAGCTGCACTTCACCGCGCTTGACCTCATCACGGATGTGATGGTACTTGATGCCGATGTTCTTGGCGCGGCCATGATTCACCGGATTCTTCGTCATCTTGATGCACGACTGGTTGTCTTCACGGATGACGAGGTCCGGTCCTGGTTCGTTTGCGGCCGCCAAAATCTCGCATAGCAGGCGATGCACCCACTTGTCTTCCTGGATGGCCAGACTCAGTGCGATGTATTCCGCTTCACTCGTCGACAGCGACACACTTGACTGCTTCTTGCTTCCCCAACTCACAGGAGCACCCATCAGCATGAAAGTGTAACCCGAAGTCGACTTGCGATCAGCGTGGTCGCCGGCCCAGTCCGCGTCCGAGTAGCCACGAAAGTCGATCTTGTCGCTTGGCTGGAAGCGGAGTCCGTGCGACTTGGTCCCTTGCAAGTAACGAAAGATGCGCTTCACCGCCGTCCAATGTTCTTGCTGCAGTTTCTCCATGAAGCGCGAGACGTAACCCACAGCATACGCAATGTCCGGGCGCGTCGCAGTCGTCAAGTGCATCAAAGCTCCCACAGCTTCACGAAACGGAACGTCGATCTTGGCCGCTTCGCTGCTTGCGACAAGCCGAGTGCTCAAGTCGACCGGAATTGCTGTGGCCTTGCACTCATCCATGCCGAAGCGCTTGAGGATGTCGTTGACATACCGTCGCTGGCACATCGTCACGCTGCCATCCGATTCGTCCACCAGTTCGATGCCCAGTACAAAAGTACACTTGCCACTGTCGGTCATCTCGAAACGCGTCTTGAGGTCGGCCTTCGTCTGCGCAATCAACTCGAGCGAGCTGCCGGTGACCAACACGTCATCCACGTAGACCAGCACGAGCAAACAGTGACCGTCGACAACCTTGATGTAGAGACATGGGTCGAACGCCGACACTTCGAAACCGATAGATCATACGAACTCGTCGAAAGTCTTGTTCCACACACGTGAAGCTTGCTTGAGACCGTAGATCGCCTTCACCAACTCGAGACAGTCGAAGTCGCCATCCATCTCGACGCCTTCTGGTATCACGCAGTACACCTTCTCCTTCATCACTCCGTAGAGAAAGGCTGTCACCACATCGACTTGGTCCAGTGGCCAGTCGAAATACTTGGTGATCGCGATCACCATACGCAGTGTCACGTACTTGACCACGGGCGAGAACGTCTCTGTGTAGTCGATGTCGTACTTCTGCTTGAAGCCCTTGGCAACGAGACGCGCCTTGTATTTCTCGACCGATCCATCCGCTTTGCGCTTGATCTTGAACACCCACTTGGTGCCTATCGCGCCTTGTCCTCTTGGCAGTTTTGCCGCACGGAAAACTCCACGAAGATGCATCGACTTGAGTTCCGCCTTCACAGCATTTCGCCAGTGAGCTTGATCAGGACCATTGATCGCGTCTTGAAAAGTCACAGGTTCTGCTAGGTCCGTTGCTTCCACTGCGTTTGCACTGGCACGCCAAAATGTTGGAGGCGTCGAGGCGTCATCTTGATTGTAGACGCTCGCATCTTCTTCGTCATCAGACATCGTTTCTGGAGCACTTGATTGTCGTATCTGGTGACGGTTGGAGACGTGTTCCGGCGCACTTGCTTGTTCCAACCCAGTTCGAGGGCGAGCTGAACGTGACATGCCGGGTCTTGCTTCACCCTTGCGCTTGCCAGTCTGCTTGTAGACGGTTTGACGCACGTCGTCCTCGTTGATCGCTAGGAGGTCGAGGTCCAACTCCGCATCTTCATCATCGTCACTTGGTCGGTCCATCGAAAAGTCAAAAGTCGATTCGTCGAAGGTGATGTCACGACTGATCACCACTTGGCCCGCCTCAATGTCGTACACTCGATAAGCTTTTGACGCTTCTTCGTAGCCCATGAACATCCCTTCACGAGCCTTCGGGTCCCACTTCAATCGCTTCTCCCTTGGGGTCAGGATAAACGCCCGACATCCAAACACGCGCATGTGCTTGACACTTGGTTTCGACTTGTACACGATCTCGAACGGAGTCTCGTGGTCGATCTTGGGTGAAGGCAGGCGGTTCTTGATGTAGATCGCCGTCATTGCCGCTTCAGCCCAGAAACGCTTCTCCAGCTTTGCATGATGCAACAAGCTCCGTCCGATCGTGAAGATGGTCCTTATCGCGCGTTCTGCGGTGCCGTTGGTCTGGTGTGCATACGGCACCGTGACCTGTTGTTCGATACCATGATCTTCGTAGAAGGTCTTGATCGAGTTGGTCGCAAACTCATGCGCTCCATCGTGCCGAACAAACTTGATCTTCGTGCCGAACTGATTCTGAATCTTGATAATGTGGTTCTTGATACAGACTTCACTCTCAGAATTGGACCACAGACAGAAGCCCTTCATGCAACCGCTGGCTTCGTCAACCACAAGCAGTAAGTATCTGCTGCCGCCGATCGAGACTTGTTCCATTGGCCCGCAGGTGTCAAAGTGCAGCAACTCGAACACACCATATTGGCGTTTGTCACGGTTGGTTGGGAATGGTTTTTGGACCATCTTTCTTGGCTGGTAACCGCGACACACACTTGGACCAGTCGAGTTGAGAGGTGCCTTGGCGTCCTTGATCATGCCGGTGACCACCATCTTGCGCAGAACTTCGAGGGGTGCATGACCCATGCGCGCATGCAAGTCGATAGTCCCATTGCGTGTTGCTGCATTCGCCGATCGTTGAGTAGTCCGCAGCCAGTAAAGTCCATCGACGAGATCCGCTGTTGCCACGACTTGTGTGGAATTCTTGCGCTTCACTTGCATCTTGGATCCATCGAACACGACTTGGAACCTGCCACCCTTGTTGATCTGTGGCACCGAAAGCAGATTCTTGCTCATACTTGGTACGAACAGTGCGTCCTTGATCTCGATGTCGCGTTCGTCACCATTGGGCAGAACCACCCGTTCCATGATGGTTCCCACACCCTTGATCGCAGCCTTGCTGCCATCAGCCACTGATAGTTCGCCTTCCTCTCGCTCATTCAGGCTTGCAAACTTGGCCTTGTCGTTGCAGATGTGATGCGTCGCACCGCTGTCGACTGCCCACATCCCTGGCATATTCTTGCTCGTCGAAAGTCCAGCCTCCAGCGAAACCGTGAACGCAACTCGATCGTAGTTGTCGTCGTAGTTGCTGTTGGTTCGCCACTGAACGTTGTTGGCTCCGCGTCTACGAGCATTGTTGCCGCCGCGTCGAGCTCCACCTTGATTTTCGTCCTTCTGCTTGGTCCAGCACCGCTCCGCCGTGTGCCCCAATTTTCCGCAGTATGTACACTGGCGAGGTTCACGCTCGGCACTGAACGCCTTCGCCGCGTCTTCAGTCTTCACCGATGTCGTCTTGTCACCTTGTCTCTTGATGTGCTCATTCGTGAGCACTCTCACGACGTCTAGCGATCGCAGTTCCGCGTTGCTCATCTCCAAGCTGAGAACGACGTTCTCGTAGCTCTTGGGGAGGCTGCGCAACAAGCAGATCGCCACGTCCTCGTCCTCCATCTTGGTGCCGATGCTGCTGAGGTTCGCGCTGATGTTGAGGACTTCGTTGCAATGATGCATCACATTGCCGCCTTCCGCCATCTCCATGCTGAACAGCTGGCGCTTCAAGTAGATGCGTCCAGCCTTCTGCGACCCGCCGTACAGCGTCTTCAAACGCGCCCACGCGACCTACGCCTCTTCACAGTCATCGACGATGTGATGGTAGTCCGCGTCCATGTGCAGCAACATCATTCCGAAAGCGATGTTGTTGGCCTTGACGTAGTCGTCCATGGCGCGATCGTCCGCGTAGGTCGGTGACGTCTCCCGGTTCACCACGTGCCACGTCGACTTGGTCAGGAACACGCCACGCATGTAGCGGCTCCATGTCGCGTAGTTGTCGCCGTCGAACTTGTCAATGGAGATCTTGGTGGTGGCATCATGAGCAGAGGACATCGTGCTTGGGCTCATAACCTGTTGAAAGGTGCGAAGCTTGACGACCGAAACTGGGAGGGATGCTGGGAGTCCACTCGGAAGACCGCAGAAGACACTTGGGGGTAGATGGAAGATTGTAAAGTGATTGATTTTCGGGGCTTACTACTTACTACATGATTTAAATGTGGTGCACATATAAATCATGTGAAGCGTCTCATCATCCTACGCGTCTAATCAACTATGGTAATTACCGTAAGAACTACGTCGTAAATACTAAGC